TCACTCATATTTGGATGATTAGAAGTGAAATACTTAGTTCAATGATTCTAGCAAGTTGAAAATCAATTTGCTTCCCACGCACATTTCACTGTGCTCATTTGTGTCATCTCCTCACATTTAGTAATCGGTTCACAACTCTTAGTCACAAATTCCCTTGCACGCAGAGATTAAACAAAACACAAAGCCAATATCCCAGTTCAACAGAGCACTTGCACATAAATGTTCCTACAGGAATCACGCTTTGACTTCAGCACATGCTTTCATGCTTCACCAAATCAAAGGCCAATTTAATAAAATCATAACCAAATGATCAAAATAGTTGCTTTAAAGAAGAGATGACTAAATGCCTCTAAAGCTTTGCATACACATGGAAGAGTAACTACAGTATTTACAAAGGAGTCAAATGGAGTTAAGCACTCATATCCCACGGAAAGTCAATGTAAGCGTAAAATGTTCAGACTACAGTCAGCTAACATTTGCCTGCCACAGTCAGCAGTGACACAGCACTGCAGAAGTGTGAGAATAAAACACAATCATTAGCTTACCGAAAAAGAAAAAAAATACCACAGCAAAATAAATGTTGTTTTCACACAGCTGTCTTTTCTACTTCCCTTTCCCTCCTAGAACGTGGGAGTTCACAACCCAAAAACAAACATTAGGAAACCAGGAAATCTCAGTGGTGATCTCCACCATTACCACCCTAAGAGCAGCAGACTTGCAACAAAACACGAGCCACAAACTCATACATACAGTTCAGTTAGCACCTCCCTGGAACAAGACCACACCATGCAAGACCTACTCCTTGAAGAGTTTGTCCTTACAAGACACTTTGGAGAAGTTATGCTTCCTACTTAGACTGCTCTGAAAAAGCAGCAAGGCTGGCAAAGCAGAGGAAAGCCACCTTTTCCTACAGCAGAGTCCATGGGATAGGGCACAGCTGCTTCCAACATGGGAGTCCCATTTTTTGTCCCCTTTATACCATTCATTTGACAGAAAAGGCCAAGAATTCATTGCAATTCCCCTGGAACAATGATACTCCTTGCAGGCACTAACTTGCTAAAGGCAGATGATGAGCCAGATGCCGCTCAAATTAGGCCAAAAATGTTCCGAACAGGCTCCCACTACAGATCATTTTCATTGGCAAAACCCAGCACAGAACACAACTGAGATTACAGTCAGCCTCCCGGATCCAGGGAACTGGCTCTGCGATAGAGCTGCACAGAACAACTAGCCAGCCAGATCTCCATCTACAACTCAGGCTACTCAGGTCCTACCTCCTCCATGAGACTGCTAAAGGCTGCCAGCTTGTGGTGTGTCTGGGATATGGGAATTGTCTGCAAGTTCCATGCAGAAACCCCTAAACTGCTGCCCAGGGCCTGCTCACGGAGCATGACCAGCTTTTGCCATGGCTTCCCACCCCAGTTTTGATTCATCAGTCTGTAGTGTCTGGATATTCTTTACTCTGACTCCTGATACTGCATCCTTGTGGCAGGTTCAGAAATTCCACATCACAGAGCCATGGCTTTCAAATTCTCTCAATTTGCAGGCCCCATTTCCTCCACACAGAAACTTGCAGATTACTGCCACTGACTTTTTTTGATCGCATGGCCCTTAAAAGCAGTCCGTAAGCCATCAGACAGAAAACTACTAACAGAACTGCTGACCTGTCAGCTAGGTCTAATTCTAAAAACCAGGAAAAACTTCTGCAAATTTTCTACCCTTAGTTATAGTTCCCCAAAATAATTAAGAATAGCAACATTTAGGTCTTTCTTCTTTCAAATGTTATTTCCCAAATACTTAACATAAATTTTTAGGCTGCTAAATCCTCTAGATTGTGTTATCACCACAGCTGGCAAACCAGATTGCATGTTCTCTCCCTCAGGAGAGGTTACAGCTGTAAACAGAAACTCTGTTACCAAGTTGGGGATCAGCTACTCCTAACAATGCAAAATTCAAGGGCCTACAGCTGCTGCTGCACAGATACCTGCCTCACACGCTATAGCTCTTGTACTTGCAGCACACCATTTAAGTTCCATCTCTGTGCCATCTTTCAGACCTGCACAATTGCCCAGATTTAGGCCTTGCAGATCTTTTCTCATCCATTTGCATTCCTAGAAGTTTTCGTTCCCTGTACAGCAATTGTTTCCAACTCCATCTCCAGGGTTTTCCTTGTGGAGCACTGAAGCAAAAGGTTTCCCCAAAATTTTACTGCAAACTTTACATGGTCAAAACAAAATGTTATTCACATGAGGAACTTCAGAAACACATTTTCAATTCTTTATTTTCTACTGAGTTAACAGCCCACTCCAATAAAATAGACAACTCCCAAAAAAGAGAGCAAGCTCCTCAATTCTCAGTGTATGTTTTCAAATGTTGTGGAACTGGAGAATGATGAAATACACAACAGCAATATCATACTCGATCAGAAACTTAATTCACTATGACTAAACCATTCAAAGATTCATCCTCTTGTTCTCTAACCTTTTACAAACTTCTGGATTGCACATCCTCCTTAACACGGGACGCTGTCTTTATACCTCACTCTCTGCTTTCTTATCGCTCACAAAATCTTAATTCGAAGTACATACCTGTGCTCAGAACCTAGGACCAACAAGCCCCCATGAAAGCTTCCAGGTTTTGCAGTAACACAAACCCTTTAGCAATAATTTAAAATTAATACCTTAAGCTTGGGTTTGTATTCACACAGCACTCTCTTCCACAAGGACTCCACCAGCACTGTGCTGAACAGCTGCTAATTGTATAACAAATATATAATGCACTTCACCTGTTACTACAGTGATTTTTTTCCTCCCCTTAAAGGTGAAGTTTGCCCATTTAGGGGATCCACTTTGGCAAAGTCCCAACATGTTGAATGCTATCAAAATACAGATTAAGAAAACTGCCACTGCTTCACAAAGTTTAGAGAGCAAACATAAGCCTTAAAAGTGCAAAGAGCTAGCATAATTTTTGCTAGCATAAGACAGTGGTCAGCAGAAGCCTACGTTGAACTAGATTTTGGTAATCTAGAATACAAATGCTGAACTGTGTAGCTTTGTGTAAATTCCTTTAGCACAGTAAAGCTTAAAAAACTTAAAAAGGTGTGACAGCACAGTCAGTACAGGGATAAGGGTGATGATCTTAATGAGAGGGAGAGATGAAAAGAAGGCTTCATGCGGCAGCAAAGGGAAAGCCAATACACTTCTGAGGCCTCTTGTCCTTAAGCAGCACAACAGACTGAAACAACGGGAGACTGATGACAAGACCCAGCCGGACAAGCAGGTGATAGCATGGACAATGGTGATTCGAGAGATGAACTGCATCCACAGGAGAAGAGCACTCCGCTGGTCTCTGGAGTCAGAGCCGCATGCTGGAGGACAGAAATACATACAACCGAGGGATCAGATGGGTCATCAACATGGAAGGGATGAATGTGAATGACTGAAAGCATGCCAAAAATAATGCTAACAGACACAAGTGATGGCAAAAATCTAGGAAGATGAAGCAAGGGCACAAAATAAAAAAAAATTAAAAAAAAAAAGAGGGAAAAAAAGCAGGATAAAGTGGTAAAAAGGAGGCTATAAGGCCTGGGACTGGCAAACACCTGCACAGTCTGAAACCAAAATAGGAAATAAGAAAGGAAAGCCTCAGCAGGAGGGCAGCTGCAGCAAAAACACAGAGACATTCACATGTCTGCACGATATTCAAGTGACTGAGGTATGTAGAAGGTGCCCAGGTGCACAGCTGGTATTAAGATGAAGTTAAAGAAAGCAAGAGAAGATAGCAATGGCAGGACCACGTGTGACACGTGGCAGAAGTTAAATGCAGATACAGGGAGCAATATGCCATGTGAAAGGGAATGGGTGGCACAAGGATGCAGAATATGAATTTGCTTTAGCGACAGGCGGTAAGTCTCATAAGGAAAAGGGAAGAGCAGACAGCTGATGAGAAGCCAATGAACAATGAGAAAAAGAAACCTGTGAGAGGAAAGGGTACAGGAAGCCAGCATCACAGATGAGCAACACATGACCTAGTCAAAAAATACCACGTATTAGCTTAGCAGCAGTTTCACTTGTCCAACTGCATTGCCAGGGTATGGACTGTGCCACAGGGACTGCCTGGGAGAGCTTGTGGAGCATTCGGGAGAGAGTTATTGCCTGCTAGTAAAGTGCTGTGTGCATTCAAGAAGTGGCAGAGACTTTCATCCCCCATTTCTAGATGACATCGTACAGCTTTTTGAATGACACGTCTGGAGTACCCTCAGTTTCCAGAGACACCATTCCTGCAGAATATGTACAGATCCAGGGAGAGCCTCGCATGCACAGCTGCCCTGCACACACTGCTGCCACAGCGTCTCAAAAAACAGGTGTTGCCAGGCTATACCAGGAATCTCTGAGGTTTGTTTTTGAGAACTGAACTCATATTAGCGCTGGAATATCCTGTCAGTGTGTCCCTTATCTTTCAAATTCATATTAAAAGGCAGAAAATGTCATTGTAAGGAAGATTTTTTTTTTCTTCTTCAAAGAACAGCTAAAACTGCAAAATACATAGAACATTTTCTCCAAGAAAACCAGAGGGTGGATCTCTTAATTTCCAGTATCAGCCTATGAAAAAATAGTATTCCAAAGTATGAAAGCAGTGTACAAAAATATGGAAAAACACCAAGACTTTTAATAAAAATATTAAAGTCTTCAGACTAACTTCATCTCTTGATGTGCTTTGCAGTAATCACCAAAAGTGAAACAGCAGAGTCCTTAAAGCCCAAACAGAATTTGAGTTACAAAATAACTTGAAATTCTTAACCTATTTACAATGTAAGGGCAGAAAGTGTTAGTTTAAGGTGCGGGCACAGAAACAAGTTCTCATGTGATAAGAAGCTAATATCACGTATCTATTGCAGCTGTCCGGGCATGTATTTTCACCATACGGTAAAAGCCAGATAATCTTAAATAGATAAAAAAAGTATCTCACATTTATACAAGACAAGAGCTTTCATACGAGCGAGCAGTTCACAGGCACCTTAGCTTACTTTATGGACACATGTGTTGCTGCCCTTTGCAATCACGTTTCTGCGCAGAAGAAACTTTCTCTTGTAGATGACTCATCATAGCCTGCAAAAGGTGTATTAAAGAGCTCACTTTGCTGTAGCTGAAAACTATTGGGCATTCCACAAGGATCAACTGCTCAAAAAACAGTCCCCAAATAACACTGGGGTTACCACTTAATAACACTTATGAGGTTTATACTGAACCCTTCCCATAGCTGTAACGTTAAAATTTTAGAAAAAAACTGACTAGCTCAAGCATTTTCAATATTCAGGTTTGGGTTTTAAGAAGTACTGCATAAAGATCAGTTACGTGGCTCATCCTCAGACATCCATTCTTGAATTCAGTCCTCTGCTGAAAAATAATCTTCATCTCTCACTTCTCTGTATTGCATTGAGGTCTCTCCCTCTGGTTCAAACCTGAGCATTTTTATATTCAATCTCTCTGCAAGCTTCTGTGCTGCAAGCTTGGCTTGCATTTCCTGTATATAAAAGAAGAAAAGAAAAAAAAAAAGACACAAGTTAGAAAGTGTTCATTTGCCATTTTTATCGTGGTCATGAAAAAACTAATATACTAAAGTATGAACTTGACATAATAATATTAGCATATCCAGAGTGGGCATAATTAAAAGTTTTAGTAACTAGCAAAGAAACTTCAGGTTTCTTTTCACACTTATACATAACTGGGCTATTAATATTTGAAGTCCTTCTTCTAAGGGTTGAAATTCCCCATGTCGCAGTCCTCACCTGTGATACACTAATGACAGACTTAAGGGAACAGAATGAGTCCACATAAGAGAGCAGCTGTGCACAGTAAAACCATGTAGCAATAGCAATGCTTGTCATTCAGCAACCTCAGCAAGAAGTACATCTCCATTTTCCAAATAAATTATCTCCCTTAAAGTGCCAAGACGACTAAATTAGCAAGTGCTTTTAAAACAATAAACAGCAAACACTTTTACAACAGTGTCTAATTTAAACATTAGCTTGGAACTACCTGGAAAGTCAAAAATCAAAATCCATTACAACAGAATTTGGAGAACCTCAGAATATGGATTGTTCGGGCACAGCATAAATAAAGACAAATGCAGATACTTGCATATTTTAAGAATTAGAAATACTGCTAGGCCTTAATTTATACAAAGGCCAAAAACTCTTTAAAGACTAATAGACAAGGTATATATTTAAATTTCTAGTCAGAGGTAAAGTGAGTGCAATGAGGTAGCTTATCAACACACCAAGAACAACACTAGATTTTGTTTAATGCAGAAATAACAGAAGGGATTAATACATTATTTAATTATACCATTAAAAGACTCAAATACAAGAAAAAGTGCCTTTCCTCAAAGTCTGCCCATCTCCATTTCATCATCAAATTCATCAGGATGAAGAGATCCTTTTATGCTTTCTTTTTTTAGGATTGATCTCAAATGATATAATTGCTTTTCAGACCAAATCTTAAATTCATACCTCATAAGCTTCTTTTTGCTGTATTTGAATTGCTATCGATTCCTCTATGGATAACAGCTTAGCAGGGGAATGGTGAAGTGGTGGCACTCGAGCTGCTGTGATGTCATTCAAATGTTTCTTATCTCTAAGTCGTCTTTCTTCAGTAGTAATTGGAGAGTCAAATCCCCTGGGTGATTGACTGGATGAGGAACCATGCGACGATCCACTTTGCTCTCCTGATAATCTGGAAGACATAAAACATAAAAGTCGTGACCCAAATTTGCAGCACAAGGTTGAACAACTTCAGTTCCAAAATTTGTTATTTTCAATGTGTAAGAGCTGAAAAGAAATGTGAAGTGTTATGACACCATAAATAAAAAAAAAAAAAGCAGCACTCGGAAAAACTAAAAAGATTTCTCTGCAGAGAGACAATATCACAAGTTACTCCTGACAATGCACAGAAAAGGTATGCCAATTAGCTAGCAAGCATGACAGCAATGCTTTGGGAGTCACATGAAGTATAAACTACTACTGGTACCAGTACAATGTGAATTGAAATTTCTCTATAGGTGCAGGAAAAGCAGAAGGCTACTTGCTGTGAAAGTTCTACAAGTTCTAGAATCGATCCACAAGAAAGTTTCTCCAATTGTTTGATAGTTTTGTAGCTTAAGCTATGAAACTCTATGAAGACTTTAAAACTCTTTAATCACCACACCATGCTTGTTCTATACCGTTTCCAATTTTATACAAGTCAATTATTTCACAGAAGTTTTTTCTATTCCATAATACTTACACATTTGTTTTAAATTTGGTTTTTTTTATGACTGGGTTCTTGGCTCTAGACTCTAGAACTTCAATATAATGCGGTGTCTTGGGGTGCAGGCTTCCAAAGGTACTGCCCTTACG